TACCAAATGTCGTAGATTGCCAAAAATTCAAACAAAAAAGACGAAATTGTAAAGAAATGAACTTGAAGACTAGATTATTCGCCAAACCATATTCTGTGCCATTGGCTCAACCCTCATGACCACGTAGATTTCATAATGAAAATAACTTTTTTTTGCAAAACTTTTTTTTATTCGCACGCGCGCATCAGTTTTGGGGCTCCCGGAGGATGTCATCCATATAATCAAATCAACATGGCCTTAGCTATAAAAATTGGCGGCTAGAAAACCTACCAGGATACATAACATAAGGCCTGATGCTATTTACATGTAAAATAATGGGCCTGAGTCAAATGCAAATTACCTCTTCCCACCCAACAAACAACGCCAAAATTGAAAGTAATACTCAGCATAAAGCCGGGGTTGGTTTGTTTGTTTATTTGCACAACAACAATAAAAAAATTATACATAATACACTAATGATAAATAAAACAGGTGCAGGAGGAGGAAAAAGTTTATTTAGCTTATGCTAAGCCTTCCTCCTCTATACTAACCAAAACTAAACATAATTGAATTGGAATAATACATACATAACACAAGGGTGTTGTTATCAAAATAATTCAAACATGCGCAAAATGATACAATAACAATAATGAAACAATTAATAGTATACATAAAATTAAAAAAAAATAATAACTGAAGATATGAATCTAATACAAGGGGTCGGAGTGGTTTATAAGATGGGCTTTCAGGGTATTTTTAAAAGGTAGAAAAGAGGAAATTGTTCGTATGTTTGTCTGAAGGCTGTTCCATAATGAGACACATTTGTATGATACGGAGGATTTCGGGGGTACTTGTGGCCCCAGCAACAAGTAGGAGATGATTTTCCTCACCATGTCTTCGTTTTCCTTCTGCTTGTCTTTGAGCATCTTAAGCTGCTGCTTCGGCGAGACGTCTGCAGAGCCCAAATCAATCAGTTCACTTTCCAGGATGTTTGAGCTGGTCATGATCGGTGGTTGTTGCTCCGGGAGCATGTCGATGACTGCTGAAGCTGTCTTCGTCAGGGCTGAAAGTAGATAATAGTTAACAAAATTATCGTTAAATATATTAATCTGAGAAACTTTTGAGAAGATCAGTCATCCAGGGTTAAAACCATGAATGAATAAAGTAGTATTTTAGACTTTTCCACTGGATAAGTGGAAATTAACAAAATTAATCTGAACAATAATTATTAGCTAATAAAAACAATATTAGCTCATAATCTGACAATATTTGCTTAGGACTGAATAGCACATCCATATTGTTTGACCACACAAAGCATCAAGTCATTATACCATTTCTTAAACAAGACACATATTAATGTTATGTATGTAGATTTTTTTACAGTATTACAGATATCATTCAGTAATTTATAAAGAATTTTTTTTAATTTTTAAACGACATCGACTTACGGTTAATGATTTTGTTTTTAGGCTTGGTTATTTTGTAACTTTATGTATTGTTTAATGTGTTGGTTTCATTGTTTTCATTGTGTAACCTGTTGTCACAATGCATTCCTGAAAAGCAGTGTTTTAAATAGCACCGAGGTCTGTACCCTGTTTAAATGAAACAGAAATAAATAACTAAATAAAGGCTTTTGAATTCTTAAATAATATTGCAAGGATTTATTGACATTTCTAGTAAATGTTAATAGCTGGAAGAACAGAGATAAGGCACACAGTATTACTGATCTTACCATCAGCGATAGCAGCCATGCTTGTTACTGACGCACCCTGTGCCCCTCTTGACGCACTAGCCAGCGTTTCTACCAGTGCTGATATATCTTCCTGTAGAGGGGAAAGAAACACATTCGTATTTACAGCTTATGTAGTTATAGTACGTCGATGAAGATTAGACATCCAGGTAATACGATACGCTAAAAAGCAGTTACTCAAGCAACTGGATATAATTTTGGAAACGTCAGACGTTTCAGCTAGTATCCACTAGCTTTCGTCAGTGACTGAGAGACCAGAGGGGAAATGCAGGTTTATAAGCACTAACTATTGATTGATATGCAAATAAAGTGAAGATAAGTTTTTGGAAGTCGAAAAAGGAAAAAAAGTCAGACAAGTCAAGACAAGATAATGCAAATTAGTTAGAAAGCTCCTGTTATACAGAACAGGAGCTTAAGTGTTGTCTGTCCTTGGGGCTGGGAGTGGCAAATAACAGGTGCCGGAGAGATCCAGTTACAGTAGTATCTATATAGTACACAGAAAGTATCACATTCTAACTGAATCATTGCACTTATACATTAGGCCATGTTGATTTTATTATATGGATGACATCCACGCGCGCATGAAGTTTCGTCCGTTTCCAAAAAAACTTTTCAACCATACTGTAAATGGTACAAAAAGGTTTTAAAATGACCAAATATATACCGTAGGTTGCAAAAAGAACTATTTGAAAACGATACCAATGTCATAGAATGAAGAAATTAAACGAAAAAGACGAAAATGTCATTTGTTCAACCTTCATGACGTCATAGATTTCATAATAAAACCACCTTTTTTTTGCCAAACTTTTTTTTTTATTCGCACGCTCGCATCAGTTTTGGGGTTCCCAGAGGATGCTCTTCATCTTTAATCAAATCAACGGAACATGGCTTTTTGAGTAATTTGAAGTCAAAATTGTTAGATAGCGTACCATAACTGATGATGGCATTGACGATTGGGCACCGGCGGTGATGACGTCATTGATGCTGTTCATCACAGACAGGATGTCCTCTGGTTTTCCTGACTCCAGCTGTGATTGGTCCATCCCTTGTAGAATATGCTGGAGCTGTCAGGGGTGATTCAAAACCGTTAACTAACATTAATTAGTGCAGAGTATATCGCCTATTCACGAGTTTCCCATCCCCAGAATGCATTGCGAAAACAGGGGTCTAAACCTCATTTGCATAGGACAGGAAGGCATCGGAATGATCCTGTGTGTGAGCTTGTTTTTCAGTGTGTTTTGAGGTGTTGGGGGCATTTTATGCTCATCGTTAATTAAATTACTATGGGTTGAATCTGACAACAAATAGAGATTAAAGTTTTTGGAATATGTGGTTTGCAACGTTATAGTGGTAACGCTATACTGATGCTGTAACGTTACAAACCACATGTTCCATGTGAACACAAAATTGTGTTGTCAGATTCGAGCCATAGAAATTTGATTAACGATGAGCATAAAATGCCCTAACACCTCAAAACACACTGAAAAACAAGCTGTTTAACGTCAACAGGATCATTCCGATGCCTTCCTGTCCTATGCAAATAAGGTTTAGACTCCTGTTTTCGCAATGCATCCTGGGGATGGGAAGCTCGTGAATGACCCACCCATAAGTTAAGTCTCACGTCCTGGATAACTTTTGACTCAGTGCAGTACCCATCCAATGTGTTTGTCATGGCTAAAACTCGGAAGTCAGATTACTGGGCTTTGCTTTAAAGCTGACCGTTTCTGTTGTGTGACATAGTTTAGCATCTCCAGAAAAAATTGCAATTATAATGAAAGATCAAGCTCATTACTTGTTGAAAACACATCGAATTCCGTACCTTTTCGTCAGTTCCCGCAGTTGTTTGGGCTGGTGATGTGCTGTATGTTGTCTTGTCTGAAAGTCAAGTTCACATAGTGTTACTTAACTGAAGTAAATGTAGGTAAATACTCACATAGGAAAATGTATAATATGCACGTAATACTTTTTTGTCATCGAGTCAATCACACAAAAAATAAAAGCAAATGTTATGATTTAGTGGAAGATTTTTTTGCCTTGTGGAAATACCATGCGCATATCATTCCTTAAACATTTTTCAAATTGTTATCATCATTATTTGTACTTGGTATTGTTTCAATTATTGTCTCAGTTGTTGTTTCAGCTATTGTTTCGATTATTGTTTCAATCGTTGTCTCAATTGTTGTTTCAAGTATTGTTTATTGGTCTAAATGTGAGTAGTGAATTATAACGTCTTTGATCATTTAAGTCTTTGTGTGACTTTATCATTACGTTACTTTATTATTTTGCATTACTTTTCATTGTTACTATTTGTTACAATAATTATTATTATTAGCATTTCCTAACTGTGATCAGGGAGTTCTAAATGCATTAGCCCTGTTTTTCATGGTCATTTTTACATGTAATCTTATGTAAATAAAGTTAAAATGAATAAATAAACCATAGAAGCTACATAAATAATGCTGAGTTAATAGTAACTAAATGTTGTTGATTTGTAAATCACCTAGTGGCATCTCCTCCTTGTGTGTACTGTAGACTGCAGTGGTTTGCTGGTCTGTTGTTCTGGTTTCGTGGTCTGTGTCTGGCTTCACTGTCCTTTCAGCAGAGGTAGCTATCGTGATAGACATGTATCAAATCAATGAATCTGTACAACTTAACTCTGTCAATCCACTACACGATGAAAATAAGACCAAACTTTTACATCCCTAAAATGTTTAATCTGACACATGCAATTTTTTTAAAAATCTACTGAGCGATAAAATATTTAAAATGTATAGAAGAGTTTGCAATTCCCCTTTAAAGTGCTCATGACACCAAAACATGACCTTGACTGATTTTAATTTATATATCTTATATCACCTGGCTAACAGACACATTTACAATAAATATACACGGTTCTACTGTTACATTAGAAATTCTAATGCCCTGCCTTGGAAAAGTCAGCACAAGCCAGTACTGCCGGTGCTGTGTCCCGCACATAGAAACTAATACTTGACAGACAATACTCATTTTTACTTGAGTCTAGTGGGGAAAGTCGTGTAAAGTGTCTTTCCCAAGGGCATAAGATCGATGGCATGTCAGGACTCGAACCCGGGACCTCTTGATTCCGAATCGCGCACGCTGTCGTTGCGGCACACGACCCCATTAACATTTTATTGTGGAAATGTTACCTGTTGTACGCCGTTCGATGGTAGACTTGAAGGTTGATTCAATAAACGAGGAAGTCACTGTGGTGTCTCTCCATGTAACACTTGTGTAAGCCTCAGTACTAACGTGGGTCGGTGTGACGGGGTGAGTCACAGGTAACGGTATCGGCTCTTTACAGGGAAACAGAAGATTTCAGTAATTCACCAGTAAATCAGCAATAGGCATGATTTGTGATGAAGTAAAAAAAATATATTGTATCTGTGTTTGTTTGTGTGTGTGAGAGTTAGTGTGCACGTCTTTGCATGTGTGTGTATTCCGTTTGTGTACCGAATGAGTGATTTGTGTATGTGTATGTGTATGTAAGAATATTTTTGTGTGCGTATTTTGTTGCTTGAGTGTGTGTGCGTTTGTGTGTGCGTTTGTGTTTGAGTGTGTGTGTGTGTGTGTGTGTGTGTGTGTGTATGAATGTGTTTCTGTGTGTGTAGGTGCATGTACATGTGAGTGTGTTTATGTCTATGTCTGTGCTTGTGTTTGTGTGTGTCTGTGTTTGTATCTGTTCGTGTGAGTGCGTGTGATGTACATATGTGTATGCGTATAAATTTCGTAATTAAAATGTATTCATAAGAACGTCTGTGCATGCCTTACCTGTTTGTTTTGAGCAGGTGACTTCCACACTCCGACCGTGCTCACCGACGGCAGCCATCTTTATGACGTAATCAGTTTCAGGTAGAAGATCAGTGACGTTGTAAGATGTTTTGGATCCATCGACACTGAAACAAACATGTCAGAATTGGTCATTTCACGCAATTCGGCATCACTTATATAACACTAATATGTTATTCTACTTTTATAATTTAAGTTTTGTTTGTAGTCACGTAATTACTGTATTCACGAGTTTCACATCCCCAGAATGCATTGCAAAAACAGGGGTCAAAACCTCATTTGCATAGGACAGGAAGGCATCGGAATGATCCTGAGGACGTTGAACAGCCTGCTTTTCACTGTGTTTTGAGGTGTTGGGACATTTTATGCCAACATTAATTAAATTACTATGGGTCGAATCTGGCAACAAATAGAAAATGAAGTTTTTGTATTCTTTTAAACATGGAACATGTAGTTTGCAACGTTACTAGTGTCAGTATAGCGTTACCACTATAACGGTACAAACCACATATTCAAAAATTCATTCTCTATTTGTTGTCAGATTCAACCCATAGTAATTTAATTAAGCATTAATTAATTAATTGAGAATAAAGTACCCCAACACCTCTAAACACACTGAAAAACAAGTTGTTTAACGTCACCAGGATCATTCCGATGCCTTCCTGACATATGCAAATGAGGTTTATACCCCTGTTTTCGCAATGCATTCTGGGGATGAGAAACTCGTAAACAGTGCTGACAATCAGCACGTAGACTTAACGTACTGCGCCTGCGGGGAACTCTGATTTTTTTCACGGTTTTCGTTGGATGTTTCAATTGGTTAATTTGCATAAGTCTTAGAACTCTTCCTACTTCAGACGATATCTTGCCATATATTTGAATACGCGAATATGACCTTAGATGATAGCCTCTATAGCATGCCAAAACCTGGGGATTTGGGGAGTCTTTAGGATCTTTTATGTGCGTTTGTCTGATTACATATAGACAACTTAGCCGGCCTGGTTGAATTACCCCCGTTTTTGAACTGGGCTAATCAGAAAACAGCCGAAGACCACCAGACCCCCAGTTCTATAAGCCTGCTACGAAGGCTACTCATTACACAAATGAGACGTTCTGCCGAACAAGTGCTAAGTAAAATACATTTTGGTTTTCAGTAGTATTTTGCTGACCATTCAACGTGATTCTTACTACATTTTGCTCATTGTAAACAGCTTTTCCACTTTGCACAATTCGCATTGTACTTCACTTTTCCATCACATACTGCCAGCTACATACATGAAAAACATAAACAATGAGTTGATGATGTTATAACAGAACGTTTACCTGAACGTTTCTTCGCTGAATTTCTGTGAAACTGTGATCTTGTACGACACGACCCTGGCCTGGGGTGCCGTCCATTCCAGAACCATCCACGTAGAAGACAAGTTACTTATGTCCACAGCTGAGGGTGGGTCCGTTTCTGAAAGTAAAGAAAAAAAAGAAGATATTTCATTCAAAATTCAGTAAATTCAAACTTTATTCATCAACTTAGACTAAATTTTTAAAACACAGTTCTGTTAATAAGCAACATTTCATCAGTTAAAAGATATTACATTAAATAATCGATTTATTAAAATATGGTAAGTATAGTCAAAATGCATGGACGACGTAGTGGACACACAGTGATAAAAGTACGTAATATGAATAAATGTAATGTGGACGAATAAATGTAGCCTGGATTTTGTAGGTCTTTGATGGAACTCGCAACAAAGGAGTTTTTATGTCTTTCAGTCCGGCTGATTGGGAGTCCTGTCACTAACCTGTTAAGACACTTGTAGTGACAGCGACGCTCCTCCCAACTCTGCTCACGGCCACCAAGGCGATGTCGTACCGCGTACCGGGGATCAGACCTGTCAACACGCAGGTGTGTGTGTCTCCTGGACTGGTCACGGACGTACCTCTCCCATTGCCGGTGTAGCTGATGGAGTACTCGACGATCACACCTTTCGGAGGCTGCCATGAGATGGCAACTGTATCGATTGTCCTGTCTTCAACATCCAACTCTGAAGGAGGTTCCGTGGCTGAAAGTATACGTGACAAATGATTACCTCCGGTTGTTTTAGCTGGCTTATTGGTGAGTTACTATGTTTCATGGTTCCATGGTACTAAAGGATGGGAGGAGGTAAATGATTGGTAGTTTGGTTATGGTTATAAAAACAGGCCGAATGGGAGGATATCAGTAGATATGTATAAGAATCCCGAAGTACTGCAATACCCGATTAAATTAGAAAACAAAATTCTCTCCACATATACAGCTGGATACGTACAATCTCTCAAGAAGAATTAAAGGGGGGCTGCAAGGGGGGGGGGGGATCCTGACAACGCTCTACACTGAACTCGGAAACTTCTCGATTACGCTTTACGATAAATTCTAAGTGGCTACAACGCATTACGTAGAATTAAAACGGCGAATACTGTCTACGCAAAATGCGCCAATTACGCTCTACGATGAATTAGAGCGGCCCGTCTACGCTCTACGTACAATTTTAAAAAACGGCCGATTACGCTCTACGGAAAAAGGCTTGCGGGCCCCCATTGAAGTGTACCTGTCGAAATATCCGGCGTTTTCCAGGACCCTGCCACCCATGCGAGACAACATTGACTCCTGTACTCAAACAACAGGAGCTAAATTATCACCCGGTTTTCAAAAGTAATTCAATTGCTTGGGTAATAATTTCCTCTCCACAGTTCAAATATGTTCACTAATAAAAACCCCAAATAGAAGTCCGATTTTGTATTTGAAAAAGCAAAAGTAGAGCATCTTTCACTCATATTAGATCGTATCATATTTAGTCCCTTTTATTAACTTTACATAAATACAGCTTTTACATATAAGAATAAAACAAAAATGTAAATGAAATAAGGGTTACAGTACCAGTTATAACTGTGGCAATGACGTCCGGTCCTTCGACGTACATGTTGATAGTTGTTGCCGATATGATGTACTCTGTGGCTGGTATGAGGTTCTGGAATGTAACTTCCGTTTGGATGATTGGAAGGTAATGTGTAAAAAGTGTGTCAGCCGAATCCCCTTCCCTTATCCACACTCGGTAGCCGAAAGCGATGAGATTGGAGGTCGGGGTCCACGCAGCGGTGACTGATGTTCCAGTGATAGTCGTTATCCGGAAATTCTCTGGAGGTGGCGTTGCTGTTTCGGGTTGAAAAGAACATTTGTAAGGGTCATAAAAATAAGCAGTTAAAAACACGAAATCACGAAATTATGTCGAGTCGGGGTCTATAACTAGCATCCAGGCTAGGCAGTGTTAGGTCGGAATGATCACGAGAAATAGTGTGAAAACTTTAAAACGACGATGTAGGAAAATTAAAGCAGGCTTTTTTTTAGCGTTTCCCTATAAATTTTGAGAATCTCCAGTCCCAGCTGCAGTTACAGTTAAAATGCATAGTTAAAACACAAAACTTGTGCCCTTGGGAAAGGCACTTTGCACGACTTTCCCCACCAGACTCAAGTGAAAACGAGTATTGTCTGTCCATTATCCATTTCTATGTGCGGGACACAACACCAGGAACAGCTGCCTGTGCTCCACGTGTATTGCATTGTTGCAATTTGAATAAAAAAAAAATAAAACACAAACCTCTCGGGAAACACGTCTCCCATGCTGCTTCTATCTGTTCTTGAGTCATGGCGTAGTTGTACAGCTGGATACAGGCTATACGGCCCGCGAAGTACCGACTGTCTCCGGCCCTCACCGCCACCCGGACCGGGTACTGAGTTGCGACAGACGGGACCCCGACCTGCACCTGTGCGACCGCTTGACCGTTGTTCCAGAGGATTGCAAACCCTGTGGAACTATCGTAGGTTCCGCCCACGTAGTTCCAAGCGTGCTGCTGCAGCACATTCGCACCAACCCCCTCTGGGTGATGTCCATCTCGTCCGAGCGCCCTGCAATAGACAGATAATGTGCTACAATGTTTCAATTGTCAACCGCGAAGAGAAGAGAAGCAAACATGCACACAGATCATTGCATCATGACAACTCATAAGTAAAAGGAAGATTGTGAATGTATCGAATTGACTTGTTGTTTAGTATCTCTTCTAATCGCTTTCATGCCGTCAAAAAAATAGATAAACAAACTGGAGCTATTAATAATAGACTGGATACAAAAAGGCTATGAGACTGCCTTTACCTATTAAAGGCAGTCTCATTGCCTTTTTGAGGCCGTACTAAGGTTTGGTGTGTCTAAAATCCTCTTTCCAGGGCACTGGGTCAAAGTCTAGCCGAACCCACTCTCCAAACTGCCTTTTACCTCCCCGACCGAAGTCAGGTACCTATTGTTACATAAAGTTAGTGTATTGACAAAGGGTACAAAATAGAAGACATGGCAGGATTCCCAGAGAAGACTTTAGAGTTTTAGGCCAAACAGCTTGCCGTTACGCTGCAAGACCACACCAGACTGGATACCGGGCTATAAACGTACCTCATATACAAGTGCTGTGGAGTTAAGTGCCAAAGATGTGCCGCCCATTGACCGTTGGTCCCGACGTAGTTGAAGATTGGCCCGGCCTGACCTGTAGGATATATGTGGGCCAGTATAGTATAGGAGTATTGCACGTCCAGCTTGCCGTTGTTGGGAATGTCTATGTAGGAATTTGCAGTCCCCGAAAACAGGAAAGCGCCATCTGGGTCTCCGTTTGGACCAGGGGCTAACTGGGTTCCTCTTGCTACCCCGTCATTTCCGTTCCCCGTTCTGTCTGATGCTCCGTACTGTGAGTTTAATGGCCACACACCGACTGCGTCAGCTGAAGAAAACATGTGTGTATGGAGTTTAAATTGTGTTTCAATGAGGTATTTGTATCTGCATCAGTAAAGCCGGTATAACCAGCCTTTGTCATAACAAACCAACTTTACAGGCACTTAGCTATATGTTTGTTTGTTTGTGCCTTTATTTATACCTCATATACCTTATATATCATATGTACATTCGTGAGGGTCGAGTTGGGAGGACAGCCGAGGGGTCACTGAATGATAATAATGAATTAATAATTCTAATATAAATAACAAAACAGGTCATAACGTCAGCAGGTCCATAGTGGTTCCGTAAAGGTCAGTCACAGAGACAGAAGCCGTTTGAAAGTTGTAAGAGAAGGTGTTGCTCTGACATCTTGTGGTAGAGAGTTCCAGATAAGTAAACCAGACTAGGCTAGAGACTGTCTGTAAACCACTAGAAGATATTACACCCAAAAATCTGTTACACCCAGTCTTTGCACATGTATCTGCAATACTTTACACATGTATCTGCAATAGTTAGAAAGGATAATTACAAATACTGCCCTCATGGCGAAAAGAAATCGTCCTTTGCTCTGAGTTTAGGACATGGCAAGGAGGTAGCTTATTGCACTTACCGGGGGTTACAGTACCAGTTACAGCGGTTACACTTTCTTCCGGCCCTTCGACGTACATGTTGATAGTTGTTGCCGATATGATGTACTCTGTGGCTGGTATGAGGTCCTGGAATGTGACTTCCGTTTGGCTGATAGCAAGGTAATGCGAGGAAAGGTCGCCAGGCTGCCCCGATTCCCTTATCCACACTCTGTAGCCGATAGCGATGGGACTGGAAGTCGGGGTCCACACAGCTGTGGCGGATGTATCGGTGATACTTGATACCCCGAAATCCTCTGGAGGAGGCGTCACTGTATGATTTGAAACAACAGGAAAGTAAAAAAAAAACACACACAAGAAATCCGAGATTTCAAACCTCTCTAAAGTAGAGAATAACATTCCTGGGGACCATATTATTGATACGTGACAGGGCCTATACATACCTGGCCAAATACCTGTCAATCAACTGAAACCTAATCTCCACCCACTCAATTTACTACACAAACATACAAACCAAGCATAAATCGTCGCCACCAAAAACAATACTTCCAGGAAATAAAAATATCTCTAAAATTTATATAGTGAAACAAGTTATCGAGAACATTGATGATTTTTACGTTTGCACGAAAGGCATTTCAAGCCATGTTTCTTTTCAATACTGTACAATCATTATGTAGCAATGATATAAGTTGGAAATACAAAAGCGAAACAAACAATGATAAGTAATGTATCCAAAACGGCGTTTTTCATGCCATTATCAAAGTCGTATTTACATGATTTGACGCGACAATGATGCAATATATATAGTAGTAAATGGTTATAGATGAATGAAGATTATCAGCACAGAAGTTACAAATATCTCTGATCAAACTGAGACCTTACCACATACTGGTAGGCCACAATACTCCCATGCCTCGCTTGGGTCCGTGGTGTAGCACCAAACTCCGGGTTCACCGTCCGGGTTCCGGCAGTAGTTCTGCTCCAGCCCGGCCGAAGGGTAGTTGTCAGGTGTATTGTAGTGTTGATGGGGTGTCTGACTGTCCCAGCGTTGACATGTCTTGCCTGTTTCTGTCACGGCGACTGTTCCTCTGTAGGATGCCCCATCTCCCTCCTGGCAATTTCCTGATGTAAAAAGACAGGAATTCATGAGCGTGGCCTTGAATTGCAAGGCTGGCAAGAAACAGAACCATGCTTTAGGCATGAAGAGAAGGGTAACCCAAACTCCACTGTCACACATCTATGCATATCACTTCCTGACCCCTCCCCCCTAATTATGATTAGGAGTAGAGTACGAATGTAGGTCGGTATAAAGTCGGCTGTATCAGCTGTTATTCGGCTATTATCCTAATGTTTCAATTGGGGACTGCAAAGCTTAAAGCATTCGGGGGTCGGTCAGGAGTTTCGATTATGGTTGGCTGATGCTCGAATGTACGTTAGCAAAACAGCAGCAGTCCATTCAGGAAGACGTTTTAATAGAAGCGTCTTAGGCGTGTTCAACGGTCAAATTTGACTCAAACTTAACTCAAATTCGTTTTGATTCGTTAGGAATGGTAGGCGTGGTCCAAGTCTGACCAAACTGCTCCCGAATGTCAGCCGCACCTGGTCTGCTCATTATAGTTCAAATGACACGCCCCTTTTGGACGTGATCGTGATTCTGTAATTTTCCAGACGGGAATGACGCCACACGTACCTATGCAAGGAAACCTAAACTGCCCAGAGCTGCCCCACCCCGTGGAGTAACCTAAGTACTGGAACGGTAGCGGGTCAGGGTCCTGCCACTGCATGAACGGGCTGCCTTCTCCCTCCCGTCCCACGGCTAGGGTTCCATCGGGGGCCCAGGAGATCCAGAAGCCTCGTGAAGAATCAGCTGACAAAATACCTGAAAGCCAAAGATTCAATAGTTAGTAGAAATTCTTCGATCAGTGGCTAATTTTGTAAGGGAGATTACGTACCTCCAAATTTTCGATGTCCACTGTACATCTTGTTCACGGAGTGACCTAGTCTCGCGAGAACACGAGACTAGGTCACTCCGTGAACAAGATGTACAGTGGACATCGAAAATTTAGAGGTACATGATCTCCCTTACAAAAATAATCACTGATCGAAGAATTTCTACTGTTAATACTACGTGACTGATGTACCTCTTCAACGAAAGATTTTATAGTTATGAAGTCGTCTTGCCTATTATATATCGCTCATTCAGTCGACAAACACTGCTGAAAGGTAACGTCCTTCTACCATGTTATATTTTACTCTTGACCATAGAAAAACCCAACATATTATGTTACATATTATATCACCCCATAGAATAGGTATAGATAAAGAATAT